TTCCTCTCAGTAACGGCTGATAACTCTCATGTGTTAGGTGAGGGTCATTTTGGTCTTTTCCATTTTTGATCATTTAAATAAATGAAAAATATTTTATATATAATTTTATGTTATTTGAAAAATATAATTAATTAACCCCTACCCCGGCCGTACTCTATGAAACAAAACCACCTCCATTGTTGTTCGTTTGAAGCCCACCATCGCCACTCTTTTGTTGAATCATATCATCGCCATTCTTCCTTTCAAACCAATCGTCCACAAAATCAAAATCGAAACCTAAAACCCATTCAAGCCTAAATGAATGAGACAGATGGAGATGAAAATATGTGATGAGATCGAAACCGATAACAATTCCATAAGTTGTGAACCACTTAGTGTTTCTTCAAATCGAAAACCCATTTTTCTACAAATCATCACTGTGGTTGGTCCCTTTGCGTTTCTGGTACATACATACATATATATAGTGTGTATGTGTTTGTGGCAAGTTTATACGAGAACATTAACAAAATAAGAGAATGCGAAAAGGCGAAATCACATGTGATTTTACACTAAACGTGTAAAATACATGTGATTCACATGACTTCTACTGCGATTAGAGGTTGCAAGCCAACTGCTTTTGTGTTGACCGTGCTTCCTAATTGTATGTGAAATCACATGTGATTTGATCGTTTTCTTATCTTTTTATTTTGACATTGTTCTTGTTTGATCATTCCCCCTTCCTTCTCTCTCTCTCTCTCTCTCTCTCTCTCTCTCTATATATATATATATATATATATATATAGTAAGGAGGAGAGGGATGACTAGGTGGTCACCATAAGAAAGAGGATGAAGCTAGGAGGTGCAACGACGTAAAACTTACGTGTTGTTTCTTCCCCGTTTTGTCTTTATGTTTATATAATATATATAGTAAATTACGGTTTGTTTAAAATAAGTTTGAGTTTTAGATTTTGCATTTCGGTAGTTAGGTTCATAGGTTGGTGTTTGGGTTTGATTTTGTGGTTTGTAATTGGATTTGATTTTGATTTTGATCATGCACTTGCTTTTGAGTATTTGGTGTCTGGCCAAAGAAGATGACTGAAAAAAGGATTTAGTCGAAGAAGATGACCAGAAAAAGAGTTTGGTCGAAGAAGATGACAAAAAAAAAAGACTTGGTCGAAGAAGAGGATTTGAAAAAGGGTTTGATCGGAGAAATGAAGAGAGGCGGTGGTGGTCCTATTTCCAAGGGAAGACATGAACCAAATGCCCCTGACCTAACGGATTGATTAACATCCGTTAATGGAAAACACCAAAGCGTTACAAGAACACAAACTTTTGGAGACCATTATGGATTAAAAAAAAACACCGAGGACCAAATCCAAGACAAACTTAAAACTCCATGGACCAAATTAGTAATTTACTCTTATTATTATTATTTTTATTCAATAAATTTGTTTATTTTCTCAATTTGCCTACCTTTTTGTCTCTTGTGGAAGCTTAGGTATTTATGAATTTTTTTTAAGAAAACCTCAATATTTTATTATGAATTAATTTTATATCTAACCAAGAAAATAATAATAAAAAAATGTTGTCTTAATTATAAGTTGTTGTATCCTTCCTTCCCAATTATGGGGTGTTCATCAATTTGTCACATTTTTTACTCAACCTACTTCAATAATTAATGTATTTCTTAGTTTCATTCCAAAAGTGAAGTTATTTAAAATGGTTTCTTGTTTTTGTTTTTTCTCCAAAAATATGTATTGGTATATGTTTAAAAGGAAAATTATTGGTTTTATATTTTAATTTGAAAAAGTCTAATTGATTAATTAAATACAATGAAAGTTGTTGAGCAATTCATGCGTATATGTTCCCGTAAAGTTGATCTTTTGGACCCGTTTCAAGTCATGGGTTTTTAATCAATCAATGTTGAGGTAAACGGTCTTCAATTATAAGATATGATCTATTTGAAACCAAAGTCTTAATTCCAACAGGTAAAAAAGGGAGAATATTCCTCTTACTACAAAGGGCTTACCTAGTCAACGCTTAGATCCGGTTCTACCCAAACTTTTATGGTAGCTTATGTCCTTATAGTGTGTTTGGTATATTTAACTTAACTATAATAGGGCAGAACAAAATTCACTGTTTTTATGTACGTGAGATGAAACATGACAAAAACTCGCAATTCGATGTTATGTGCGACATGAGAATGAGACTGGGTGGGATTTTGGAGTTGTTTTTTATCCTACCAAAATAGACGGAACAAAAATCACAAGAACGAGACAAAATTAAAAGAATTACCAGTCTATTTTTATTTGATATGATTCTAATATTGTATTTAGCTTGATAGTCACCACCGCCCACTGCCTGCCACCTCCATATTGACCACCATCGGACACTTCCATCTCCATAGCCACCGGCAAGCATGTCTCGTATGCATACCAAACGCTATTTTAAGTAGTCTAACTGTGCAACCTAAATAAACTTGGTTTAATTTCAAAAACACCTCTCATGAATAACCGATTATTATATAAACTAGTATTAACAGCAGTAAAAAACCTAAACATAACTGGTAAAAGCATAAAATTGAGAGCGCTTTGATCAGTTGTGTTTCACATACTCAATGTTTGACTTGATTTTGGTCTAGACAACGTTCCAACATGTCTTGTAAAATCACCATCAACATTAACCACATCTCCCAATTTGCAAAGTCTCTAGCAAGACTGGTTTGGATGGATACGTGTGTCGACCCAACTTGAGCTATTAATATGTTTTATTGATTTTAAATTGTAGTATTATTTATCCTGCTTTTATTTGTAAATTGAATTCAATAATTATACAAATTAAAACCTGAATTTAAAATCCTTCTGATGTAATTGCGTAAATTTATACAAACTTCTTATTTTAAACTCTCATCTGTAACTTAATTTCAATACACATTCAATACGACTCCTTGACCAGTATATCTCATTGTTTATTTTTTAACATAAAATTGGGTCAACTTAGAGCATCTTCAACAAATTTTTCGAAAAAACTACATTTAACTCTCACACTTGTCTGTTTTGAAAATTACATCATTAATTATATTATTAAAATATTTTATAAATTTAATAAAATAATATTTCTCTTTCGTAGACATCTAATTGTTCTCCAAATTTTTGGGGAACTTCTTTCTTGCTTTCTCCATTTTGTAGAACAAAATGTTTACCAAAAATCTTTGATATCTTCGTTTTCTCAAATTTGAAAATTTTACAAGATATACTTTCAGAACAGGTCGATTCCACTTGTTCTATTACTAACATAATAAAAATGGATTTTTAAACTGATTATAACTTAAGGGGTTGTTTACTTGCAGCTTAATTAGGCTTATTGGTCTATCTGGCTTATTCGCACAGCTCATTTGGATTGTTTACTTACCGCTTATTCGCACACAACATAGCTTAATCGCACATATAGAAATGGTGTGTTGTCCCCATTCAGCCACAAAAATAACATTTCTATCCCTTATTTAAAGCACCGCTTCCTTCCCATATGAGACACCCCGTCTTCGGCTTCTTTATGATTTTTTGTTTTGATTTTCAAATAATTAATATTGGGGGTAAATCGGTCATTTATGTTATTCAGACTGTTGATTCAGATAAAAAAAAGTAAACAACAACACCCACTTATCCAGACAGACAAATTTATCCGTACAGAACTTAATAAATTTTTTGGTAAACAGCTCCTTATATTGCTATACATGTATCATGTATACGATCAAATTAAGCCGGTATTTATGTACGAAGTTGAAAACTATGGGCATTAATAAAAAAAAGGTAATAGCTGCTAATATCATGGTCACGGGTCCATATTGGATTATTAAATTGATAATAGCAATTATTTTAATAAAAACTAATTGACACCTGAAATTACTTATTTAAATAAGAAGCCAGAAAATTATTTAAAATATATTGACGTCAACTTGTCCCTTTTTTGTCGATTTGGATGAATCAACCCAAATCTGTAAATCAAACAAATATATAACATCAAGAATTTGAGTGTCATGAAAGCCAAACCCCATGTTTGCATTTGGGTTTGACTATTTCCACTCTATCAAACCATTGTTTAATAATTACACTAAAAAGTCATTGAGTCATTAAGAGATGAATTTTGTTTGATAACAAAAGTTTGTTTCTTAATGGTTTTAAAACCCTATGAATGATTTTGTATCATGCGTCCCTCTTAACAATTCAACGCCATAACTTAGTTGTAAATAATTACCAAACAATTATAATTCGTTTTGCACTATATCATAAAAGCCTCTTAATTATTCTGCATCAAATCATTTAGCAATTGTCAAACAACTCATAAATAAACCAAACACCGGGTAACTAGTTACAATGGAACAATAGGTGATCGTGATCGGTGTAGAGGTTTGAAGAAGAAAGATTTTATTTTACGAGCAATTCCTAACAAGTGTCAGTTAAAAAATACGTAACTGGATTCTCGTAAAAAATACGATTAATCCATTGGATATCTCCATCAACAAAATCTTGTTGGCTAATTGAGAACCAAGGACATGTTTTGATCATTAGGGACCCATTTTATTTCATCCGTAGTGGTAACGTTGATGGTCTGGAAACAAAACATCCGTATAAATATAAATGCATCAATATCTCATGATCAAAACGCTTGATTCATCATGTTCGCTATAATCCAAATAAAGGGCGTCGAAAGTTTTCTCAACTGTTAATTTTAAAGCCTTATAGAATTAGTCGACACGTAAATAAACCGAACCGGACATTTTCGGTGAAGTGGTCATCAATTATGTGTTATGTATGTTTAAAGTTTTACCCTTTTTCATGTTAAAACGACAATACAAAAGGGTAATAAAGGAAATGTAGACTTTAAATGTGAAAAGAAAATCAAACCCCAGAATCTTCAGCTTTAAAATTTGGACTTTTCCCCTTTGTTGCTTTTCTGTGTCTCTGTCTCTCTTGGTCTTGGGTCATAAATTTCTTCCATCCTCTTCTATGTCTTTGCCTTAGCCTCAGCAACTGGGTCATCATTCAGCCTCTCAATCATCATCATCATCATCATCACCACCACCACCACCACCATTACCACCCTGACTGTGCTTTCTTAAAGGTACCCACCCATATTTCTGTTAACTTTCACCATTCATGAATTCATCTTCACATCAATAGATTCGTTCAATCGAACCTCAAACTTTTGCGACTCATTCAACTCAATTGCAGTTCATCAATCGTGGGTATCAACATTTTTTGCTCTAATTTAGCTCTAGGGTTTACTTCTGTTATCAGAAGTTCAATTCAACGTTTGCTGAATCAACTGATAGAATAGAATCTTGTTTTCCTCATCTTTTATCGTAAAAAGTCAATTCCAACACTGTTTCATATCAAGACTTTTGGGTCTCATTAGTTTTGTAGAAATTTTCGATTTGACATTGCTCGATTAACTGGTTTCTTACAAATTTCTTGAGAAAAAGCTTGTTTTTAAGCGTCAATCAACCCCAATTATAGTTTCTTATTATGGGTCTCTTTAAGAATCAACGACACTATGCACTTTAATTAGTTATGAAGTTTTTTTGGTCAGATTTTTCGTTTATTTTTTTATAATCAAGTGGAATCTTACAAAATTCGGCAAGAAAAAGCTTGTTTTTGTTCCATTTTTATTCCTTGCTCAACAATTGCAATCTCTGATCTTTTACAATCAAGATTTGTCAGATTTCCATTTCTTTTATCATCAGTTGATCCCAATTACACGTTATGAAATGTGGGTTTCTTTATAAATCAAGGTTTTTCACTCAATTTGGTTCCAATTCATGGGTCTTGTTATGAAAATCTGGTATCTTCTATTCATACAATTCATGGGTGTGATTAGAACTAACAAAATCAAGAACTTTTAACTCAAATTGGTATGAATTCTACTGAAATTTATAGTTTCTCAAGAGATTTAGTTCAATCTTGCAGGGTGGATGTATTCAATTTCCCTTTCAATCAAGTGGGTTCTCACAGATTTATGATAACTAAGCAGCTTCATATGTAATCTAAGTTTCTTGATTGTTATCATAATCTGTTTTGATCATCATCAATGGCAAGAAAATCTCCAAAATGTCCTCCTACAGTTGAACCAAATCAATTTGGTTGTGTGTGGAATTTTAGTGATGTGTTTGACCACCGCCACCACCATCATGGCCGCCCCCACCGGAAAATGCTGTCAGATGAGAGCCATGGGAGCAAAGGTGTTCCAGGTGAGTTCACTCTGTATTCATCGGTACTCATTTTAACGCCAGAGTAGAGATGTAATTCGGATTTTGATGATTCTCATTTGCAGTTTTATTCAGTTCATTTGGCAAACTCTATCTTAGATTTAGAATCTTGCATTTATACAAGTATGTAGGTTTCTTTAGAAAGGGAAAGTTCGAAAGAGTACCTGAGAACCAATAAACCAACTATTTTAGGTATTATTCATAATGAATAACCCTGAATATTCATAATGAATATCATGTATTTTCGTATGAATAATGTTTATCATGAACATCTATCATGGTATTCATTTTTAATAAAACATGAGTGGTTGGTTTCTGTTCTCAAAATATTTATGGTTCTCATTTGAACCCCGCTCCTTTATAACAAATACTACAAATAGAAAACGTTCGGACTAAATCTGTAACCGAATTCTTGACGTTTTTGTGTTTCGGAAGTCATATGTTAACCTCGAAAGTCAAACTGAACGTTATGAATTCCGTATCTTCAGGAGCCGAACATACAAGAAACCTAGTACGAGTGCTCACCTTCGATGAACAACTTAGAAACATCAATGTAAGTACATGTCTTCTATTTTTTCAATCGTTTATCTTCAAGCGAATGGATTAGATTCTGAAAATGCATTCATTATGTTCAGATTGAATCGAAGAAGAAAACCGCAAGTGTGAAGCAATCTCTGAAAGGAGAAACGAGTTCTTCAGATCACACAAATAAGAATAATGAGGTGTGGAAGAACACGATGGATAAATCTTTTTGGAAAAGGATAAAATCCCGATATGAGAACCCGAACAAGAAAAAGGAAAACCCGAGCATTGTAGATAGAATCGTGGTGTTAAAGCCTAGTCAACATGTTGTCGAATGTCCGGTTGATGTAGGATGTCGGTGCTCGTATTTGCAGACTCATAATAGATCAACAAGTAAGCAACAAATAGTTAAGCACACGCAGGTTTCGTTTAATGACGTTAGAAAAAATTTGAAATATGCGAAGAAACTGAAGAGCATCCGAAAGACGAGATCTTGTGAGGCTTTTGAAGGCGGTGAAATCGATGGAAGCGCTTCTAAAATGGAGAAAGTGTCGTTGGTACCATTCTCGAAGCAAGGAGAACCGGAAATATTCATGGAAGCAAGACGACACCTTGCCGAAAGATTACGGCAAGTTGCGATGGGCGAGAGCAAGCCTTCGACATCTTCAAGTAAACGAGGTTCCCGAACCTTGGAGAGGATACTACTCTCGTCTCCAATACATGAGTCGATGGCTACTTTTGGTCGGAAATCAGAAGAAATCTTTAGTTTGCAGACTCGGAAAGAGAAGACGTGGACCGGCTCGAGCTCGTTGAACCAGATCGAAGATTCAAGTGCTACTGGTAAGAGTTGCTCTCTCGTGATCGGTCCGGTTTCCACAGGAATACGAATAATAACACCTTTCTGCAGGGTTTTTTGAGATCATGGATGCGGATGATCTTCTTCGAGGTGTCACAAAGTTCTCAAACAAGGACTCGGTGCCAAACAACGCTGGTGTGATGGGACGAGATGGGTGCATCAAACGATCGCTACTGGTAAATTTAACCCTTTTTCTCTTTGAAATGCCCGTTTCTTATTTTCTTTTTATCGAAAAATATGCGATGATGAGAACTAAGCCAGCCATGTGATCATTTCGTGACATTTATTATGTTTTTAGGAGTTTTCGTTGGATGTTTCCTCACCGAAAGCGGATTGCAAATCGCAAAACATGGATCACGATCAATTCAGAGAGAATCCGAGCCCGGTGTCTGTTCTTGAATCGTTTTTCACAGACAATGTCAGCAGTCCTACAAGCACTGTCGAATCTGGTAAGTATGGATTCAAGTTCATTACTTTTATTTGATTTCATAAGCAACTGTTTAACATATAAACCATCATCAGTTGAACTCCAAATTCAACCACATCGTCTAGATTTTGAAGAACACTCATCGCAAACTTCATCGCCACCATATCAGAAAACCAGTTTAAGTTCGTTCATGGAGGATCGAGGATTCATTTCTTCATACGTTAACGCGATCTACCAAACTTCTCAGTCGAACTGGGAGGACTTTTTAGTGACGGATTATCCGTCGGAATCATCGTGTGACCATAAACTTCTCCACGATTGCGTGAAAGAAGTCTTGATTGCTTCATATTCGCCATGGATGACCTTATTTAACTCAAAGGTTCGGCCTTTTTCATTGGAAAAAGACGTGGTCGACGAGGTTATCGAACAAGTTGGCTGGCACACCAGTCAACCCATGGTTCCACGGACGCTAGATAATCTCGTCAGAAGAGATATAACGAAATGTGGACAATGGGTTGACGTTATATCACATAGAAATGATATCGTGTTTGAAGTCGTAGATGAAACTCTACAAGTATTGATCATGGAAGCTATCTCCGACATTCATGCTTGAAGCCGTGTTGACTTTTAGTTTAACCTATTAGTCCGGGCTCATGGTTCACGGGCTCAAGCAGGCCTGGCTTGAGTCGAACCGCTGACGGCTAGTGTCTTATCAGTTAGTATTATAGAGAGAAGATGTAGTTGTTACAGTTTTTTTGGTCATTTTTTGTGGGATATGAGACTTATATATGTATAAATCACATGATAAGGTCGAGACATTCATTGAATAAGGGCATTGGAAGGTTGTACTTTATGCCTCATGTGTTGTACATTGACATCAAGATTGTACCTTGGTTTCTTGATCGAGCTCTGCTATTAGTTATTTTAAGAATTGATTTGTAGGAAATATTTTTTTGTTTTAAACTTAAGAGTAAACAGTTATCTAAAAAAGAAATGAATCTCCTTCAAGGTCACAGAGGATTTTTACTTGCTGTTCTTTAGGACCCCTGAAATTAGTCGAGGTGCGTGCAAACTGACCCACGGTTAAAAAAAAAAAAAGAAGGAACTTGGTGAGCCTTTTTGGCCTGATCAATTATCAAGAAAGCCCATCTTGCATTTGGCTCGAAAGACATGCACCATTTTTGATAATGATCACATTTTTGATTGGAAGGATGGAGATGGAATGGGGAGGTTGGATCCAAAGTTGCTTGCTTTGGTTGGGGTCGAAGATCATGGCATGGTTGAAGGACGCAGAATCGGGCTTTGACGAAGCAAATGGCTCTGATACCATGCGAAATTAGTATTGTGGAAAATTTGGGTAATATTAGACCTGACAAAGGTTGTATTAAGTTTACAAACCTGTTAAAAGAAAAGATTTTCTAACCATAAAAAAGAGATTACAAAATACAAGGAAATGATCATATTTACCAAACTTATTTGTATCTGGACATTTACATCTGTAAAGATTTACCATTTTATTTGGTAGGTTCATGCCGTTTTCTTCACTAATTTGGCATTGATTCTTACAAATCTTGTTAAACCCATGGCAGAACCCATGACATTTTTCTATGCCGTTTATTTCACAAAAACTTAAGCATGGTCCATGCCATTTTAATCCAAACTAATGTACAGCACAACAACGATAACACTAAAATATGTACAAATAAACGACCTAATAAAAATCAATCAATCATCTGCTAAAAAGTTCATTCAGATTCTTAATTATTTGTAAAGTTATTTTTATATCACAAAATTAAAATTTTTAAAATTGGTTTACAAAATAAAAAATAAAAACCCCTCAAAAGTAATTATATTTCAATGGATGTTAAATTTAATAGTAACACATAATTTAAATTGTTTGTATTTGTAATTTTTAAGATAATTTTAATTTATATATATATATATATATAATATTTTAGATAATTTAAATTACTTATTGTTATGATTTTTTTGATGATTTAAATTCTTTTAAGATTACTTTTTTAGATAATTTAAATTGAAAAAATTGAATTAGAAAATGGTAAAATTCCAAGCTCCTGGACCTGTTATTAGGGCATTCGCTTCCCGCCAACTGTAAACCCTAGCCCTCATCTCCTTCCTTTAAACCCTCTCATCCCCTCCTCTTTTTCATCGTCTCAATTTCATCCAACAAACTTCCTGCAAATGGATCCCCAAGCCGTGAAATCAAACGTAGTTCTCATCCTCGATTACGGTTCCCAATACACCCATCTAATCACTCGTCGAATCCGAAGCCTTTCCATTTTCTCCCTCTGCATTTCGGGCACTTCTTCACTCAAATCCATCACTGATTTGAACCCATCTGTAATCATCCTCTCCGGTGGCCCCCATTCGGTCCATTCACAGGATGCCCCTTGTTTCCCAGATGGGTTTGTCGATTATGTTGAAAAAAACGGCATCTTTGTGCTGGGGATCTGTTACGGGCTGCAGCTTATCGTTCAGAAGTTGGGTGGGGAAGTGGCGATTGGGGAGAAACAGGAGTATGGGAGGATGGTGATTGAAGTTGTGAAAGATTACGGTGGGTTGTTTAAGGGTAAACAGATTGGTGATAAGCAGGTGGTTTGGATGAGCCATGGCGATGAGGCCGTGAAATTGCCGATTGGGTTTGAAGTGGTGGCGAGGAGTGAACAGGGTGCGGTAGCGGCGGTGGCGAATCCAGGCCGCCGGTTTTATGGGCTGCAGTATCATCCGGAGGTATAATGAATCGACTCATTTCAACCATGCCAATCTGCTTCTTTTTTGTTGCAAAACCATCATCATTCTTGCAAAAATGCTATGAAACATTATAAGTTGCAAGATTAAGTTATTTTGGGCAACTTATGAAGTATAAATACAAAAGCAACCAACATGGTTGACATTTTTTTGTCTAAAACTGCTCAATGCCACATTCTTGAAGTCTTTTCTTTTTTGGGCATCTTGACCAATTTGAAGTTTTGAATTTATTATTCTTGTTTTGTGTATATCAATTGTTGGTGGAACATAGTGGTCATCATAAGCATGTAATGGGCTAATGGCCTATGTGTATGCTTTTGAAAGAACCAAGTGGCATGATCTATTTGATTATGAACTTTTCTAAGGACTTATAATTGGGTATGTGTATTGAAAGTATCTAGTGGTAACTTTCTTGTTTGTTGATGGGTGGAAAATGTATGCAATCTTTCATATCCCATCTAAACCAAGACTTGTTTTTCAATCATACAAAGGTGACACATTCACCAAAGGGAATGGAATTGTTGCGGCATTTCTTTTTCGATATATGTGGGATCACAGCTGGCTGGAAGATGGAAGATGTAATGGAGGAAGAAATCAAAGTGATCAAAGGTATGGTCGGGCCTGATGATCATGTTATATGTGCATTATCAGGAGGTGTCGACTCTACTGTTGCAGCCACTCTTGTTCACAAGGCCATCGGCGATAGGCTGCACTGTATCTTCGTTGATAACGGTTTGTTAAGGTGAGGTTTTGGTTTTGTCCACATTTTCATGATTTATATGTTATTGTATGATCTACATAAAAAAATTGAGAAAGACGGTCAATCTCGTTATAATATTCTATGAATTTGGTGAATTTGTTTCTGTATAGATACAAGGAGCAAGAAAGAGTCATGGGAACCTTTGAAAGCGATCTTCATCTGCCGGTTACTTGTGTTGATGCTTCAGTGCAGTTTCTTAGTGAGTTAAAAGGTGTTACAGATCCTGAGAAGAAGAGGAAAATTATTGGGAAGGAGTTCATCTCAATCTTTGACGCCTTCGCTCATGATTTGGAGCAAAAATTGGGAAGAAAGCCTACTTATTTGGTTCAAGGAACTTTGTATCCAGATGTAATCGAATCTTGTCCACCACCCGGAAGCGGAAGAACCCACTCTCACACAATCAAGAGCCATCATAACGTCGGTGGTCTTCCTAAAGATATGAAGTTGAAGCTTATCGAACCACTCAAGCTTCTATTCAAGGATGAGGTTTGCATCGTCTATTTAGATACTTTAGGGTGCATTTTGTTGTATCCACCGAAATAGGTGGATCAGAAAAAAGAAAGATGGGGACAAAATTAGTAAATTACTAAAATACCCATATCAAATGCACCCTTAGTGTTCAGGAGTTCATGTAAATTTATCGTCTTATTCTTGTGAAGGTTCGTGAGCTTGGGAGGATTTTAGATGTTCCAGTATCGTTCTTGAAACGACATCCGTTCCCTGGGCCAGGACTTGCGGTGAGAATTCCCGGTGATGTAACTCAAGGAAATGCACTGGATATCCTTCGCCAGGTAGAGAATGCACTTACGACGTAATTTAATCTTTGGTTTTTCGTTCTAAATCTTGATCTGTAACGAACTTGGTGTTCCAGGTGGATGAAATATTCATTCAAGCAATCAAGGATGCTGGGATCTATGATGTTATATGGCAGGCTTTTGCTGTATTCTTACCGATAAAAACAACGGGTGTTCAAGGAGATCAGAGGACTCATTCTAATGCTGTTGCACTTAGAGCCGTCACAAGTCAAGACGGCATGACTGCTGACTGGTAAAAACCGACTTTTTTTCATCATCGATTTATCTTTTTCATACACAAACGAAGGAAGTCAAAATGCCTAAAGATCCAACTTCGAAGCAAATATGGGTTCTTCAAGATTGTGAGAGATTTTTTCAGTGAACATGTTAAAGTTTACAAGTAGTATTTGTTATCGAAAATGTGGAAGTTTGATCTGTTTGAGGTTGAAATTTGCAGGTACTATTTTGAGCATAAGTTTCTTGATGATGTGTCGAGAAAAATCTGCAATAGCGTTCGTGGGGTGAACCGAGTTTGTCTAGACATTACATCGAAGCCACCATCGACAATTGAATGGGAATGATTCTTGATTAGGGTTCCAACATCATGTGAAATTAGCAAAGCAAAGAAACGTGTTTTTTGGAGGTTGACAACAATTTTCTGAATCCATGTTTAGGCTGCCAATGTGTTGACGTTTTATGTTTCATGGAGTAAGTTATAATCTCTTTCTTTTCGTGATTTCCATTTTGATTGGTCTTTCTTTCAGAAATGGCTACTTTTTCCCGTGATCGTAGATTATTAAAATAGTTAATAATCTACGAACGGTATATGTGTATGTGTAAACAAACACAAATCACGTTTGCAGCCTACGGTACGTGGAGCATCACCTGAATCAATCTCTCTTCTTGGCCTCTGAAGGCTGAGATTTGGAGCCATTTTTGCCTGAACTGGTATTTGGATCTGTCCAAAATTTTGGCCATTAGGCTGGATCTTCTCGAGTATCCTACGGGAGCCCGAAAATTTGTCCCGGTTTCTAACTGGTCCGGTTAAAAACACGCCGCCTAATTAGCGGTACTACCTGGACCCAGTGTTTTCTTCTGAGTTTTTTTAACCTGTAAGAAATACAATATTGTACCAGAACCAAAAATGACATCAAAATCCAGTCTAAAACCCAGGACCAGGACCAGGATCAGGATCGATTTGGGACCCATTTTCTGTTCTATTGGTTTAACCAAACCCATAATCAGCCCAATTGGGTTCAATACCACCGCAGGATCAAAATACAGCTGTAACAGCCTTAATGTTACTGTCAACACTAAAACAGCTCCCCTATTCCACTCATACATAACAATCTAAGCTCAGGGTCGAAACTTGGTAGGAAACATACCCAATATATCAGTAACTGTTTTAGTGGTCATCCAACCTTAATTTGATTTACTAAAGAATCGTGTTTTGAACGGAAACTTTTTCTGGAAACAACTTGAATTCTCTTTGTGGCATGCTTGAATCCACATGAGCAGCTATCAATAAATATAGTGAATTTACGTATCCTAATCGTTGCCCAGTATATCCCACCCAATTGGAGTAGTGTGATTGTTTTTGTGAAGACGCATAATTTGTGAAAAGTGCGATGAATCAAAATTTGACATGCACAACACCACACATTAAGTGGTTGCACCAAGGAAATATTTTAAGTGAAGTTTTAACATAATGAGAGAGATCATCCTTCCCAACTTCTTCACAAATATGAACAAAAGGAAGCTACCAGCATAGAAATGGTATCATATTTTAATTGATTTCCAGGTCTCTAAGCATATAAACAAAAACAAGAAACATAAATGTTGTAGCCAAATAGTACATTAAAAACCCAATTACTATCATGTCACTAAAAGTGAAGAATAGTACAAGGATTCTATCATAACAGAAAACGTTTTTCTCTGCACAAAAACGTGTATGTTTCAAGCAAATCAAATCAATAGAACTCCTCTCACCTGAATACGGGAAGATGAATCCATCAACCAAGCAAAAACATCAAGGAAGACGAACAAGGCTACTCACAGCAGTATCCAGAGAATCAACATTTCTACGCAACGTCTTTCTTTGCAAGGGTCAAGAAAATCTTGTCTAAACATCCATATACCTATATATGTATCATAAAGCATTTTGCTTCAAGCCTTAAAAACAGCCCTTTAATCTTTCAGTGCAGTCTATTAATGTATGTCTCTTAAAAATTTAAGGGGATACGTAATTAGTTATACATACAGGTTCTTAAAGCTGTTTGAACTTCATAAAACTAACTAATAACCAACGGATAAACATGTTCAGATACAAAATCGTACTCTCCATCAATAATTGTATAAAGAAATACTTTATCATTAAAATTAAAATGAATTACATTTTTTATTTTTTAAATCTAAACTACTTATATTATGAAAAAAATTTGAATCAAACAAATTATACCAAAACACGATAACTTTATAATCTTTAATATGACACCCGGATCGATATATTTTTTCCGCAGGTTTTATACCGCATCTTCAAATTAGTAAGATATGTTCAACTGTTACATGTTTATTTTGTTCAAACATAAATTTCGGATTTTCTTTTTTAATGAGAAGTTGCATTAATTTTCCATTTTCATTTACAATAAAATCTTAAATCCATTGCATGGGTACACAACTAGTACCTTAATTAAATAGCTTCACAAGCACTCAGACACACATGAAGTTAAGACACAAGCATAAGGATAAAGGATACAGTTGCATGGCTAAGGCGTCAATGCCTCTCATCTCCTCATTCAATCTGCAAAATATGGGTCTTTTAATTAGAGTGGGTCAAAGGAAGTGGTCGTAGTAAGCATATAAATCTCCGTTACTTGTGATAGATGAACAACGATGACTACTTTTTTTAGAAAGACAACCCAAGAGGGTGAAATTTTAGCCGTCTACCCCTTTATTCAACCTTCAAAATCTCAACATGCCCAAGGATGAGATTCAAACTTTTGATCCCTTGTTCATCATGAGGAAGTCCAACCATTTGGACAACCCCAAATGCAATAATGACCTTTATACACAAAGTAAAGCTTTCGACTTTGTTGCAAATGACCAATTTGCACAAGGGTGGTTAGTTAAACCCATTTGTGAAATCTGATCAAACTAGCAGCTATTATGGTATTCAGCACCTAGTTCCACCTCAATAAAAGAGTAATTAACAATTCAAACCATCACACTTGGCTTTTTGCGGCTAAAAAGGCTACACTTTGCAAGGGTCGAGGACAAAAAGTACCCTTTTTTGCATTTACATTTCCACATTTGTCCAAAACCGCTCATTCTTACAAAATGTACTTTTCTTTTTGGCATTTTCACAATAATCATGATCATTTAAAAAAAAAGTACGATGATTTAAAAAGTTAGTCACTAGTGAATAAAAATGACAAAAACCAATGATAATAGAGTACATACCTCAAACACGAGTTTATGTATAGATTCCCTTTCGTCGCAGAATCCAATGCTGCAAAGTATTGCAATATACTGATCAACAGCAGGCATGACTACTGACCATGTAATAAACATGAATTGAAAGTAAACTCTAAAGAATAAATTAGAACCTGCATTACTTTGGAGGAAAAGGGTTCCCTTTGACTTTTGAACAAATTCATACTATATTTTACTGGTGACTGAAGAAAGTAAAATCATCAATGATGTTGTGACATAATCAAAAGGTATCCGTAGATGCAAAATGGAGATCAAAGTTACAATATGCGAGATCTTTGCTTTAACCATTTTGACACTAAATTTTGCTCAAGGCATTACCGTATATGCTCAAAAGATGCACAACCACCCTCCTCAAATGTCATCTATCAAAAGACTGCCAACAGTAATGCAAGAATCAAAGATAAATCAACGTTTTCTTGCAAAATCTATTTTAGGAAACTACTCATCACAAAGGATCTTATTAGGTTATTTAAGAGTTCTGTAAAAGACATGTATTCTACAAATAAGATTTCTCTAGTGTTTATATGATGACACATTGTACATATCAAAGATCAACACCAGATTTTGTTATCTACCAGATTCTTGAAGACGACCAGCAGCATCACTAAAGCATTGTACATGATCAACAGAACGGCTGGTAACCTACAATATACACAAACAATCTCAAATCTCAATAGATGTAGCCTATGAGCAAGCAAATGAATTCAGCTACACTGAACTTCAGGTTATACATACAAGGAACAGAAAACTCTAAACCCACAAACACTTAGCCTCATGGTGGCCTCTGTGCGTCCAACACACAGTACAGCACAAAAAGTAGTTAAAAGTAGTGTCCCATGATGCACCATGAAAGCTCCTTGCGCCTTGATGCAGAATGACATAGCAAGGTACACTGGCCCTCCTCGGTTTTCACGGAATATAGTTATAATTTATGGTGGTTTGAGCTAAACACATCACAGATTTAGTTCGATCTTTCGGGACTTTTCTAGTAACAAGTCAAAAAAAGAAAGGAAGGAGGAAAACAAAAGTTGGCATTGTGATGCACCCTTGGCATTCATAACGTCATTTCTGATGTTATTCTTACACCACTTTTCGAGTGGTTTACGCTGTGTTTCCAAGTAAATTAGACATAATTTAACACTTTAGTTCAAGTTGTGGACAGGAATCGATCTTGGAAAGAAAGGAGAGGAAATCCGAGTTTTTCATGCCATACGTGAGGATTTTGGAGTATTGAAGTCAGGAACTGATTTGGAACTCAAGCATGTAGTCGAGAGAAATGATTAAGCTGGAATTAAGGGGAAAAAAGGAAGCAAACTGTGGCTCATGCCACCTGTCCTGCGGGTTCAAAGCCACTTCCCCAAAAAGACACGGACCACCAATCCCACGACTTAGGTCGCTGGGATGGTCGCGACACTCACAGAAGCATGTTTAAATATTCTTCCAGCTAGGGTTGAAAGAGGGGGGCACCACACCAGACAGCTGGGAACACTTCCTGGGCGATTTTGGGGCCAGGAAACACGGAGATTATCATCGGGATGAAGATCTAAAGCAGGAGTCATTGATTATTTGTGGAGATTCATCATCAAAGGGAAGTCTTTAAATTGTTTTAGACTATGATTGAGAAACCATGTCTAAACTTACGATTTCTTTCCTTTTTGCTTTATTTTCTACCACCCCCAACATGAACTAATCTTTAGATGTTGGCGGTTGTATGATTTTCGGTTTGTAAGCATATGAACACGTGAAGTTATTAATTTTATTAGGCTTTTCAATTAATTAAGCATATGAATTTGTGTTTAATGTTTTTTGTGAGCCTGATCAACTTTCAATTGATTTAATTATTATAAGTTAGTTTCGAGAGAGGTAGCTTATAATTAGATTTAAGATTCATATGCCTAAGATGAGAACTTGGATAGAGATATACCAATTAAACCTTCGTATTGTTTTACAATCTTGGCCTTAATGAACTTCTAAAATTGTGTGTTGAGATCGAGAGATAAAATATGTGTTTTTAGAGATAAATCTGTTATAAGTTATAACTCGAGCGAGAGTAATATGAAAGTTTGTGATGGTGTATTCATTTAATTGAAATTACCTGATAGTCATTGCACCTGAAGCGTTCTACGTGGAAACCATTAGGTGACATTTGGTTCACAAAATGTTTTTGGATGGAATGGAATTTGTCAAAGGAATTTGACTTTAAAGGAATTGGAATGGAATGTTGCCAGGTCTTACCGCCTGTTTGGTTGGTAGACATTGGAATGGAATCTGTTAAGAAAGTGGAATTTATCTGTTTGGTTCACATAATGTAGCTTTGGAACTGGAATGCGATATTGGTAAATGACCAAAAGGCCCTTTTTTGAAAATTCTAATTTTTTTAAAACTAATAGTACTTTAATAAAATAATTATTTAATGTGTAAAACAATATAAAATACACAACCCAAATATAACCATAAACCAAACCACGTTACAAAATCGATATTAAAATTGTCTCAAAATAGCTAATTCTTTATAATGTAAAATAGCTAATTCGATGGTGGTCGGAGGTAGTTCAGATAGGTGGTAGTCGACCATGGTTCAGACGGCGGTGGTTCCATTTGGTGGTGGTCCGCGGTGGTTCAAATGGTGATGGTTAGCAGTGGTTCAGATCGGGTGGTTCAGATGGCGATGGTCGGCGGTGGTTCAGATGGATGGCAGTCGAAGGTGGTCGACGATGGTCATATTGGTTTTATGAGATTAGGGTATATTGGGTTAAGGGCATATTTGGTATTATAAAAATAGAGAATTTCATTCTATCAATATACCATGTAGTTGCTAAGGAATGTTAAATTCTTTTATTTGTGGAATTTGTAGGATTTTGAAGATTCCTTTCGTGAAAAAGAATGAACCAAACGAGGGTATGGAATTTGGTCAATGGAATTCAACATTCCAATTCCATCAGATTCTTTCAGAATCTGCGAACCAAACGCCCCCTCAGAATTCCAATTCCCAACTGTTTCTCTCCTAATAAAGTTTCCAACTTTGTGTTATCCAAATTTGTTCAAGGTTTCTTTAGCTTAATTAGAGAATCAATTATTCAATCAATTATCTTAATTGACGGTCCAGTTAATAGTAGTCATTGTTATACTCAATCTCTACTTTCTTTGGTTCGATACTCGTACTTACCGTACGTATTACTTGATTCGACACCGTACACTTGCGGTTAAATTTAGGGGGTTTTAACCCGCCTATCAGGCACCTTCTAACACACAATGATGTGGGCATGTGGCAAGGTAGTTTTTGTTGCGCATGGCACATCTTTACATAGGACGTGGGGACCAATTCATTTTTTGGTTTTTCCAGTAGTAACTTTGGAGTTGTCTTAAACTATGGCACTGTCCCACACAGAACCTCTTCATTTTCCAGGCTTCTGAATTGTAATTGTGTAGTGATTTGAGTTTTTCACATTCTTTTGAGCTCTTCTTCCACTTAAAATTCCCATCGTTATTCCTTTTTCCCCTGATTCTCTTAAATTGTCAATTAAATATCCCTTTCCTGCTTCTTTTCTATTTATGTTGCCATAACAAATGTCCAAGGGGAAAACAACATTATTTTTAGAAACTGCTTCTGTAGTCTCTCAGCCTTTGTACCATAATACGTCGACATGTAGGTTATTTTTCTTCTCTTAATGATTGTTTCCCACCGTTGTGCTTCGACTCACTGCTTGAGCCTACTTAGGGTATGCTGACTATGCTCAACTTGGTTCAACCACACACACACACACACATATATGTATATATGTATATATATCTTCAATTTAAATTTAATTAATGAACTGCAATTTGCTAAATACAATGCCACTTGTGGTAACACCCCACAATTGTGTCAACTATAAGCACTGGGTTTGATTATACATATTCATGGAAATGGAGAAGTCCAGGGGGATCAAGTGCTAAATAGAAAAACACTTGGACCTGTCTTGCAAGTTGGTAAAACAAGATCGAATTGACACTTGTGTTCATGAAACTGAGATTGGAAGGGAAATGCGAGTTATTTCATCATTTCCATCTACTTCTGTATGCCAAAGAAATTCATAGAGAAATTATGGCGGAATCAAGAGTTCCAGTGGAAAACTGAAGCAAGAGGTTACATTGTGCAGGAAGCAAGACTCGAAGGGTAATTTATATACCAAATTTGTGTTTAGATGTATGGCCAGTGATCTATGTTGTTATAGAACAGATTAGAATGAAATGAGATCAAGTTTAAGGCCTTACGACCATGAATTGAGCAAGAACATGATGTATATGTATTTGGTATTCGCCATGAAAGTGTATGAAACTAATGCTTTGGATGTTACTAAAATAGTCCCTTAAGCATGGTAAAAGATGAAGATATACGTTCGTAACATTTTGATGCTAAAAGAACGAGACAAATTGATGTTAAATTGGTTAAGGATAGAGTGATGTGGAGATTGGTTCCATGACAGGCTCTATATGATGGAATACAAGCTCAGGTGGCCGCACATGTCAAAGGAACGGGTGAGGGCAGAGCTCGCATATAAGCTTCCACAAATGTACGGAAGGCCAAAAGCAAGCATAAGTCCACTTACAAGTCAACCCCAGTTTACTCATGCGAGCTTGTCTGAGCTCACATAAAAGTAACCGAGCTCAAGGTTGCGTTGACTCAAGTTTGACTAGACATGTTCCGATCAAAATAAGATGCTAAGTTAATTGTTAGGGTTAGAGTTTGTTAGATGATGTATAATTAATTAATTATTAATTGAGAAATTGACCAAAATAGCCATTTCACTAAACAAAATTCATTTTCTAACCATTTTTCATCAAAGTTTAAAAAATATCATCAATTCCACGAGTGGGGAGCCACATTCCCCAAGAATTCAAAAATTGGGTCAAACTTGAGGAGCCATACGAGCCACTTGAGGAGCCATACGAGCCACTTGAGGAGCCAAACAAGCCAATTCGGAATGACTTTTTTTATTTGTTTAATCATTTTTAATCGGAAAAGTTACATTTCCCAAGTTATGGCTTTACCACTTGCGGAATATTTTGGAAACTTTGATGAAAAAATGGCTAGAAAATGAATTTTGTTGAGTAAAATGGTTATTTTAGTCAATTTCTCTTGTTAATTATTTGTTAAGTATTAGTCGTAAGGGTTTGTTAGTTGACGTCAAATTGTTAAGTTTTTGTTGTTAATTGTTAGAGTTAGGGTTTATTAGTTGATGTCTGATTGTTAATTTGAATGATCTTCCTTGAATTCATTCGAAAGAATTCTTTATGGAGTATCACTCTAATCAGATAGATAAATAAGACGAAAATATTTAGGTAGAGGACATTGTCAACCACATGAGCACGTGGGAATTACTAAAATTCCGACCCCCATCATTAAAATTTCTACATCCGCCACTGACTGGGACGCCCGTAGAGACATGGCAGGAAACCACATTTGATGCATGATAGTCGGTACAGTGCTGTAAATGGTACCTCTGAGACTAAACTAGTACACATTTGTCAAGACATGTGCTTGAGAGTACCTTTGAGCTTGACTGGTTTACTATTGGCAAGTTAAGACCCCCACCATGTCAGTTCACGTATGAGATTTCAAGGGTTCATGTTCAAGTTGCATGTGTGCATGTTTAGTGTAAGATATGATTACAGGTTGTGAGATTAATGTTATTGCAAGGATGTATATATACACAGACAAGTTTGTACAGCTTAGTTACTTCCAAACCTGATCTGTAAGTTGACAAGTTATGAATTTATGATAACCTTTTTTTTAATGCAATGCTTAATGTAATGAACTATAATCATATGCCTGAAACCAAGGACTCACCAAGCATTAAGCTGATTAGCATTGTGTGCCTCAAGATCAGGTAATCTGGATGCAGCAAGGGTAAGGGTTGCAAAGAGAGATTTCAAGTTAGAGACTGTTATGATTTAGATTATGCTATGTTATGATGAACATTGTTATGTAATTCAGTTCGTCAAGTTTGACTTATGATTCAGATGTTTAAGTTGTAGTGTTGTTTTTACGATGTGATGAGATGTTTAGCTCGTGTTAAGTCATGATATGTCTCACGACCAAGTGAAAAGTGGTGTGTGACACTTGTAGATTAAGGGCAAAGATCATATTGAGTAATCTTTCTATATTTACTATTATCAAGTTGGATTGGGTGTGTACAAAATAATTCATTTCAGCATCTGGATCAGTCCATGTTTCCCCAGCTGCTCAAATCAGTCACTTCTACACATAGAATTAACACGATTCTCTAAAACTTCAAGTTTCTATCTAAACTTAAATTATACATACAACAACAACAACCACTGATGACATGTAACGAAATGTGTGATTTTCTCCATCATTATTGCTGTAAGGTTGATTTTTTGCTATATATGAATTATAACTACAATAGTATGTATATGAAATCGAATCTCATCATTGCTCAAATCAATATAACTTTATGGTTTATATGAAGCTTATTTAAAACAACTTATGTTTTTTTGTAAAAGTGTTTATAGGGGGTTTTATAAAAAGTGTTTGGATTAGCTTATGAAGGTACCTCACCGGATAAGCAGATAAAATAGATGAGATGCTCTTTTCTTTTCTTATTCAAACGCTAAAAACTCCCACCAGAATAAGTTAATAAGTCATAAGTAACTTATTATTAGAAACTCTTATCACCGGTGCCAAATCCGGGATACAAGCATTTTCCTTTTTTCTCCATCCAGACACTAAAAAATCCTAATTAATTACCGGTACCACATTAAGAACAAGTTAACAAACACTTCAAATAAGCAATCCCAAACACCCCTTCAGGTCAATTTAATTACCATGGTTAAGTTTCAAAATACAAAATTCGCGTACCTCGGAGAGAGCCACGCGGAGAGATGCGAATAGAGATGAGAAACTATCGGCGATGGCGATGGAATCCCTCTCCACCACCTCCACTACTCTGAGAATCTTCTTTTGAGTGATGGATGAAGACGTCGACGATAACAAGGAATCCTCTGTTTCTCTTATACTTGGATCACTGATGCCGTGATGATCTTCTTCGTAGTGTTGTTGAGAAATTTGATGATTGTGATCTAGTCCGGAACCTAGGGTTTCTGAACTGCTTGCTTCCTTTGAGTCCATCGTCTCGGCGTGTTGTGTGTTTGGTTGTTTTCTTCACTAGTGAATATGCTGACAACAAGCCTCCAACGATAATATCTTAAAAAATAACCTTTTTTTTTTTTTTTTTTTTTGGAATATGGTAAGAAAAAAATTGCAATTAATTTTAAATTATATTATATTTTAAGTAACAAGTAATTGTGTTTCAAAAAAGGTAACAAAGTAGTTAAATTCAATGTTTATGAATATTTTGGGCATTTTTAGTATTTTACATAAAAAATATATAAATATATCATATTCCACACTGTTATAATAA